GATCCTCCTCCCTCTCAAGTAGCTGGGACTATAGGTGTCTATCACAATGCCCAGCTAATTTTTTCATTTTCAGTAAAGATGGGGTCTCGGTTTTGCTCAGGCTGGTTTCAAACTCCTGAGCTATAGCAATTCTCTGGTCTTGGCCTCCCAGAGTGGTAGGATTATAGCATATAATAAGCATGAGCCACCAAGCTGGGCTGAAAGCCACCTTTGATATAATAACTGAAAATAATCAGAAATTAAATATGCATGTGATTACAACTATACTTACAAAAAGAATAACTACTAAGGATTCAAGAGCTCACAGCAAGCCAAGCTCTGCAAAAGGTTCAAGTCATTTAATCTCATAATAATTAAGGTAAGGTAGAGGTTTCTAGTCCTCCTCTTTTATAGATGAGGCCCAAGAGAGGCCAAGAATCAATCCCAAGATTATCCCACCAGGAAGCAGCAGAGCAGAGATTTGAACCAGGGCAATCTGGCTCCTGCATAAGAACCATCTTGTTTCTCAGTGACAAAAATGTCTCAAGTGTTTGAATACAGTGACATTCAGCAGGAGAGGTTTTGCTCTGTTGCTCAGGCCGGAGTGCAGTGGTGAGATCCCAGCTCACTGAACCCTCTAACTCCTGGGCTCAAGTACTCTTCCTGCCTCAGCCTCCCGAGTAGCTGGAACTACAGATGCACACCACAATGCCCAATTAATTTTTCTCTTTTTTATAGAGATGAGGTCTCATTACGTTGCTCATACTGATCCTAAACTCCTGGCTTCAACCCATCCTCTCACCTTAGCTCCCAAAATGCTGAGATTATAAGCCTGAGCCTCCACACCCAGCCAATACTTTGTTTTATCATTATTACTTTTTACTTCTACCACCTCTGGGTCTTGGCAAGAGATGAAAAGAAAGAGGAGGGGTTTCCTGCTCAGGGTGTAGGGGTTAGGGTGAGGGTGGTGAATTTCAGGCCCTGAGGAAGAGCTTCTGCTGGTGGTGGGTGGAGGCAGGGGGAAGATGCAACCTGAAAAGATACTGGACCACAGAAGTTGAAAAGCGGAAATGAAATAGATAAACTTCTCAGAAGTCAAAAAGTAGGTCAGTGGCCTGAATTAGGAGATCCATACCCCTACACTTAATTGAAAATCAAGTTGGAATTTTTGCTCTTGGAAGGCCTTTCCTCTTCCCCTCTCATCTTTTCCTCCCCTCTTCCTTCTCTTTCCACTTCCCTCTTCCCCCACCCCCTCTTCTTCCTCTCTCCTGCTCCTCAAGGCTGCCAGACCCCTCCCAGAATGATTTTTAGAGGCTAATCTTAGCAAGAGGTTCCATCCCCAGGTGGAAGTTCGTAGCTACTGCTATCTTTTATAAATACACTGTCCCCACACTTTGGTTTCCTCACCAAAGTCACGGAAACAGAAAAACCATGACTGAGAGCAAAGGAAACTCCTGTGTGGGCTGTAGCTGGGCGCATGTGGAGCACCTCCCACCAGCCCAGCAAGGTCAAGGAGTCAGGAAACTGTCCTGGTTTCATTGTGTTCCCTTGGCAGAGGTGAGGGGCATCCCTACCTCTCTCAGACTACAGTTTTTGCATCTAAAAAGTTCACACAAAATGATAGTTCCTGCCCAGGGTTGTGGGTGTAACTCACAAGATGCTTATGGAAACCGCCCAGTGAATGCCATTCTTTTTTAATTTTTATTAAGTCAAATACACATAGATCATGAATACATTTATGCATATGTGGGGTACAATGTATTGATTTTTTTTAATACAATCTGACACAGTTACATCAAACCAATCAACATAGCTTTTGCCTCATTTACTTGATTATTGTGTTAAGACATTGTAATATTTCTCAATCCATTATGGTGCTTGCATACTTATTGAGCTCTTATTGTATACCAGGCTCCATAGCAAACAATTTGTCATGTGCCTGATCTGATTTAATTTTTACAGTGAACCTAGAAGGAAAGTGTAGGTTGAGTATCCCTTACCTGAATTGCTTGGGACTAGATTTTTTTCAGATTTGAAATATTTGCGGCTCGGTGCCTGTGGCTCAAGCGGCTAAGGCACCAGCCACATACACCTAAGGTGGCGGGTTCGAATCCCCAGCCCGGGCCCGCCAAACAACAATGATGGCTGCAACCAAAAAAAAAAAAAAATATATATATATATATATATATATATACAGCCAGGCGTTGTGGCAGGTGCCTATAGTCCCAGCTACTTGAGAGGCTGAGGCAGGAGACTCACTTGAGCCCAGGAGTTGGAGGTTGCTGTGAGCTGTGATGCCATGGCACTCTACCCAGGGGGATAGCTTGAGGCTCTGTCTTAAAAAAAAAAAAAAGAAATATTTGCATATTCAAGTCACATTTGACTTCTGCAATTCAAGAGGTGCTCATGTGACTTGTATTCATTTTTTGTTATGAGTTTATATAGATTATTACAATTTTAATACAGTTTTTTCCTTTCTTAAAATGTGTATACATTTTTTTGTACCCTTTGTATATAAAAAGAGATATTTTGAAGATTGGACCCAAATCTAAAAACAAGGCATATTTATGTTTCACATATGCCTTATACATGTAACCCAAAGGTAATCTCATGCAATTTTCTTTAGTTGTTATTTATTTATTTACTTGTAGTGCCATGTCGTCATAACTCACAGCAACCTCAAACTCTTCAAACCTCAAACTCCGGGCTCAAGCGATCCTCTTGCCTTAGCCTCCTGAGTGGCTGGGACTATAGACATCTGCCACAATACTTGGCTGGATTTTCTATTTTTGTTATTTTTTATTTGTTTTTAAACTTTATTCAAATTAATATGAGGGTACAATATTTAGGTTACATTGTTCTCACTTCCAGGGTAAAATTCCATTTGTAGAAGAGCCCCTCATCCTCATGCAATATTTTTAATGATTTTGTGCATAAAGCAAAGTTTGCATACATTGAAAGCCAAGGTGTCACTCTCTGAGTCATACATGTGAATATCTGTGGTTGTTTGGCAAAACCATCATTCCTGACTCTAAATTTATCTGCTCTTGATAAACATTTTCTTATACTTATTCACACATAAGTACATATTAATAATAGTAAAAATATGACATACATATCTAGCATGTGAGGGAAAGATATTATCACAGCTATAAGGAGGACTTTCCCTTGAGCACCCTAAGTAAACCATGTTTTGTGAGCCTGCATTTTAAGTGCAACCTGGCCTTTGAGGTCAGGTGCAGAATTTTCCACTTGTAGCATCATGTTATTGCTCAAAAAGTTTCAGATTTTAGAGTATTTGGAATTTTGGATTTTTGGATTAGGGATGTTCAACCTTCACTATTATTATACCCCCATTTTACAGATGAGGAAACTGAAGCACTGAGAGATAATGGGACTTGCTTAAGGTCAAACAGCTAATAAGTGGCAGAGCAGACTTGGAATCCTTGGAATCCAGAATTGCAAAGCCTATTTCCTTTACCCTTGTGTTACTATGTGGCGGTGACAAGAACAATTGCAGCAGTAACGATAGCAATTCACTCACCCTTGGGGTCTAGGCCTTCATCGCCCAGTGAATGCCGTTCACGCCTTAGAATGCCATCCTAAGATCTCCCTACTGCCATATCATGACACTGCTCATTTGCATAGATCATCTTATATGTCATTCTGTGTCCCACCCCAATTTCCCATGCTCCTGCTTACTCCAAGCTCCCACCTAGCTTGGTAAGCTGTCACTCCATCCTGCAAGTAAGGGAGCCTGGTAGGGTACAGCCTTCACTTCCTCAGGGGCTGTGGATTTGAGGGGAAAGTAGACCTAGGTGTAGGGTCTTTGGTTTCCCCCACATTTCCTGCTAGAAGCAGGGCTAACTGGGTTCAGGTTCCTTATCTGCTAAAATAACCTCTGTGGGCTGTTATACTTCACTCTGCCTCTATGAGCACTCGTTGCTGACTGTTGCCCCCTACCTGACTCTCCCCCTCCCATGGGGCTCTATGGGCCTAACAGCCCACCCCAAATTCTTTCCCCTAAGAACTAGGCAGATCCAGGTGAAACTGTGTCGTTTATTTTAAGGACCAGTAGTAGCTAAGAGGAACAGGGCTATTAGCAAGGTCTGTTCCTAGCCCCAGGGTATGTTACTTTTGGCTGGGGAGGAACCTCAAGGCTGTGTGTATATGTGTGTGTGATGTTGTGTGTTTATCATTGTGATGGTGTGTGTGTGTAACCAGGTCTGGCCATGATGGGATGTGTCTGCATCTGATGTGATGAGCATTACCAAATGTGACGGTGACACCCTTATCAGTGACCATGGTTGTGAGCTGGGTGTGGCTGCTGTGTGTGGCTGCTGTGTAGTGTCATGACTATCTGCAATGCTGTGTATGACTTCCATCTGACTATGTATGAATCGGAGGCTGTGTGTGCATGAGTCTGTAGTTGTGACAGAGGGTGGATGTTACATAGCTGGGTGATAGATAGGTTCCGTGTGGTGCCACAGGTCTGACTGTGTAGTCATTCTTTCCTCCTTTCTTTTAGTGAGTGAGTTTTTCCTGGGTGATTGGCTTGGGCTGGATGCTAAGGACACAGCAGTGGTGTCCTTGTGACATGTCTGTGCTTAGCAGTGACAGGACACAGCCAACAGGTTGGTGATATATTGTTAGCCAGAAGTCAGCCACCATGACAGTATTTACACTGTGGAAGTTGGCAAATACTACAATGTTTCCCTCTACACTGGAGAGAGGTGGTTCTTAAATAGTTACAAGCACATTTTGTGGCTGTGTCTCTGGGTGTGGCTTTTTGTGACTAGGCAGAGTGTGGCCACAAGCCGGTGGGTGAGAGCTGAGTGTATGACTGTGACTGCAGGTGGGGTGGGTAGGCTGTCTGCCTGGATGAGCCCAGATTTGTGGTCTCCCATCCCATCTCCCATACTCACGAGAGTAGGGAAGTTGATGAAGTCAACCAATTCCCAGCCAATTCCCTGGAATCCCAAGTCCCACTTTCTTCTGAATCAAAAGTATAAATACCCACCCCTTCCCTTCTTCCTGAATATCAGGCAAATCAACTTCACCCCATGCTTGGGGGCCTGCAGACTCCAAGTCTCTGGGTCTTTGTCTATAGTACTGTCTGTGGCAGGGTCTAAGGTCTGCCTGGGTCTTCCAGACGCACCTGCTGGGTCTTCAGCCTCTTGGGGTGTCTGCATCTTTGGTCCTGGGAAGTGCCTACTGAGTCCTTCATCTTCTGAGTTTTGGGTTCCCTAGGGGCCCTCCAAGACCTCGGGTTCCTGGGGGGTTGTGTCTCTCGAGACACTCTCTCAGGCCTCCGCCTGCCAGGCCCACATGCAGCCCACCACACTCGTTCCGTTACACCATGAAGGCCCCAAAGTAGGACCGGGTGCCATCGCGCAGTCGGACCAGGTGCTCCTCTGGCACACGCACGATCACCTCCTCCCCGGCTTCCAGGTGCACCACGCCACCCAGAAAACTGCTGTCCCACCAGACACGGGAGCTGGCTGCCCGTCTGCAGGGTGACCGCCGACTGACCAAAAGTTCCAGCTCCTCAGGGTAGCGTGGTGTGCGCTTGTAGAGGCCGTGGGTGACCGGCAGGTCGCTGGCTAGCCCTTGTGGGCACCCCACACCGCCCAGCTGCACTTTGGAATAGATGTAGTAGTATCCAGCCCGGGTGGTCACTAGGGCCCCATTGTGGTAGCTGAGGCCCCTCAGGAAGGCCAGGCCCAGCTGCGTCTCCCATAGCAGTGGACCTCCACTGCTTGTCAAGCTGGAATTGGCTCCTGAAAGGGAGAGAGAGACAAAGTGGGCTGCTGTTGAACATGTGTCCTTCTCTTGCTGTGTGACCCTAAGCCAGTCTGCACCTTCTCTGAGCCTCCATCTCTGTCCTAGGCTGCTTGCATGTATTAATTCACTTTATCCCTTCTTTGCAAATGGGGTAAACCAAGTTACAGAGAAGCAAAGAACTTGCTTAGTGTACATCTTAAATTACTGCATCTCCCTTTTACAAGGTGGGGACACTGAGACAGAGAGGCAAAGTATCTTGCTCTGCCAAGGGGAAAACCGAGGCACAGAGCCATAAAGTGACTTTATAAAAAGTGTCAAAACTTGCAAGTTAGGCTGGGCATGGTGGTTCACACATGTAATCCCAGCCTCTGGGAGGCCGACCCTGGTGGATTGCTTGAGCTCAGGAGTTTGAGACCAGCCTAAGCAAGAGTGAGACCCTATCTCTACTAAAAACAGAAAAACTAGTCAGGTGTTATGGCAAGTCCCAGCTACTGGGGAGGCTGAGGCAAGAGGATTGCTTGAGCCCAAGAGTTTGAGGTTGCTGTGAGCTATGATGTCATGGCACTCTGTGAAATGAGACTCAAAAAAAAAAAAAGAAAAGAAAAATTTGCAAGCTGGCAAAGAGTGAGACTCTGTCTCAAAAAAAAAATTTGGAAGTTGGCAGAACCGAGGAATCAAGGCAGAACATAACTCAGATCTAGCAACCTTGTAACCTGTGCATGCCTTAGTTTCTTTCTCTGTAGAATGGAGATATGAATAGTACCTATTTAAGATGTAAAGAATTACAGTAGAACCTTCATAGCTGACCATCTTCCTACACTGACCACTTCCTTAACCTAATTTTTATACACTGGACATGCGGTGTACATACAACATGTACATATCAGTATAGCAGGCCCAGTCCCTTATGTTGGCCATCTCCATATATTGACTGGTTTTTTACAGTCCATTAGGTGGTCATCTTACTGAGGTTCTACTGAATTTTTAAGTTTTTTTTTAATTTTAATTTTTTGTAGAGATGGGGTCTTGCTATGTTACCCAGGCTGGTTTCAAATTTCTGGCCTCATGGGATCCTCCTGGTGTGATGTCCCAAAGTGCTAGGATTATAGCCATGAGCCACTGTGCCCCAAAGTATTTAATGAATTAATATATATAAAATGTATAATAGTGTGTGACACAGTGTAAGCACTATATAAGGGCTAATTAAATAAATACAGATAGAAATACATATTCCCAGAGCCTGAGATCTGGGTGACTCTGAGAATAAATATTTAATGACTGAACAAACGAAAGAATGAATATGCTGACATGGTGGGCATTTGTGTCATCTTCCCAGGACACCCTGTCCTATGCCCCATGCCAGGACCCAGGGCCCTCTCACCTGTGAGGTGTGCTGCCGGGTTGACCTGGTGCGACCTCCGGTCTGGGGAAAGAGGGTCAGAGGTTAGGAGCAATGACAGTGGGGTCCAAGAGCCAGCCTCCAAGGTGTTATCATGTCCACCTCTTAGAGTCAACACCACCCCTTCCGGAGTGACCCAAACTTCTGCTTCTCAGGCCTAGGGGAGGGGCACCTTTGGGACTTGGGCCAGTTGTGCAAATCACATTGGGCAATGCTGGAGGGCAGCGTGGGAACCACCCCACCTTCTTCCCAAGGATCAGGACCTTGCCTCACCTTGCATCAGCTGCTCCCAGGAGCCTGTGTCTCTATCCTACAAATACAGAAAGAACCCACGGTGAGAACTTGTGGTGGGGCCAGTCTGGCAATGGCCACAGACACCACCCCCAGACATGCACAAAGAGCCATGTGCATGCACATCCTGCCGGCAACCCAATGCCTCGGTTTCCCTTTTTGTAAATGGAGTTACAAATACTGCCTCCTTAGTATCTCTGGAATTAATATGTGTAAAGCATATTATGGTTACTGACACATAACATACACTATAAAAGGGTCTAATAAATAAGCAATATTAAAAAACTAGGGTCAGGTGCAGTGGCTTACACCTATAGTCTCAGCACTTTAAGAAGCTGAGTGAGGAGCATCACTGCCAGGAGTTTGAGACCAGCCTGGGCAACATAGTAAGACCCCATCTCTAAAAAAATATAGAAGATTAGCTGGGTATACTGGCACATGCCTGTGGTTCCAGCTATTTGGGAGGCTGAGACAGGATGATCACTTGAGGCCAGGAGTTTGAGGCTGCAGTGAGCTGTGATTATGCCAGTGGTACTTCAGCCTGGGCAATACAGTGAGATGCTGTCTCTAAAAAAAAAACCAAAAAACCTGGACATCCAAATGGCTGGATATATGAACACCAGCCCAAGAATGTGACACCCAACCCAGGGAATAGTCCTCAACATGTATCTGACATGTTGAGAAGATAGACACACATAGACTCAAACATGTGGACATGCTGTTATGAATCCACGTGTATCTTTAGATCAGGACTCAAAGACAAAGGCACACAACACCAGTTCCCAGGCTGTAGACAGGTGGATGCATGGACACATGGGGACATGTGCACAGGATGGTAGCACATGACACATGGGTACATGTGGCCACCAGGTCCAGACGCAAGGAGAAGTGACATAAGGATCCAGAATCCAAAGAGACAAACCCATGTGGGCATGGTATTGTACACACACAGATCCACAGGTGGGGCAGGCAGACAGACACACACCTCCATGGCCAGCTGGGGACAGCCTGAGAGAAAGAGATTACCACAAACTGACACAATCCCAATAACAGTAATGAGGGCACAGCTAATAATCCAAGTGACATTGGAGTGTGGGTTTCTATTGGTTGTGCACAAGCCATGGGCCAGCCACCTCCAGTCACCACGCTTGCCATATGGTACCTCATGTCCTATGAAGTGGGCACTTTAATTTTATAGATGAGGAAACTGAGGTATAAAGAGATGCATGAACTTATCCCGGACTGGCAGCAGCAACTCAGGGTCAAACTGGATACATTTAGTCTGAGTCCTATCCTGTACGAGCTCTCAGTGACACAGAAGACACAGGAGACCTGCCCCGCACACCACCAGCACCCAGGCCCCACTCACCGGCAGGCGGGCGATAGTCTCGCCCAGGCGCCAGTGCAGCTGCAGCAGAAACCAGCCTTGGACTGCCAGCCCAGCACCTATGAGCAGCAGCAGGAGACCCAGGCCCACCCGGGCCGAGCTGCAGGGCTGTCTCTGGTGGCTTGGTCCTAGCCTCCTGAACGGGATGTCCGTCTGTCCATCCACCACAAAAACTGAGGGCCGCACGACTCTGTCCTCCATGCCCGAGCTGACGGGGCCCCAAGACGCCCCAGGGCAGGGCTGGCACGCCTGGATCCTTCAGCCTCGGAGGAAACAGAAATTGCCCAACACTCCTGGGCTGTGTGGCTGCAGACAGGCTCTCGTGGGCCCTGGCCGCCTTTAGAACTGGGCTTGGCCCCACCCCTCTCCCCACTCACCCTCCTCTTCTTCCTGTGCTGGCCACCCCCGGCCCTAGTCCGTCTCACTCTCACTCACACAGTCGCTCACACTTTCCAGAGACTTCTGAAAATGTGACTCAGGTGTGGATTGCAGAGGGGAGGCCCCAGCTTTCCCTTTTGGGCCGCTGCATTCACTTGGCCACCAAATATTTACTGAGGACTTCCTGTGTGCTAGATTTGGGGAACACAGGGTTGAAGAAGGGAGACTAGGGCCCCTGCTTGTATAGAGCTCCTATTCCAGTGGGGTGGGAGAGACAAGAAGCTGGATAATAAGAAAATATAATAAAATGTAGCGTTTAGACAGTGGTAAGTGCAGTGAAAAATACAGAAGAGGAGTAAAGGAGTGCGTGTGCATGAGTCTATGCATATACATGTGAGGTCTGCACATGGGTGTGTTTCTGCATGCATGTGTGTACATGTGTGCAGGTGTCTGTGTGCACATGCATGTGTAAGGAGATGCACACGTGTGTGGGTACATCTCTGTGTGGTCTGTGCACGTATGTGTGCATGCACATGTGGGTGTTGTGTGCAGGTATGTGTACATGTGTGTGCATGAGTGCAAATCTATGTGGGTGTGGGTATGTACATGTGGAGGGTAGGTTTGTGTTTGTGCGTGTGTACACATATGTGTGTGCATTCGTGACTTTTTAAAAATTGGAAGTCACAGTTGGGGTGGGACTTCTGTCCACCCATGTACTCTCCTCCTTAACCATGCCCATGACCTGGGAGTCCTAGACTCCTCCCTCTGTCTTGTCCCCATACCCCCTCTTCTAGCGAAGTCTATAGATTCAACCTCTGAACCATACCTCAGATTTTACCTCTTGTTTCCATTCCTACTGCTGCTACCCTAGCTAGGTGCTATGGACTGAATGTGTTCCTCCCAAATTCATATGTTGAAGCTGCAATCCTCAAAGTCATAGCATTAGGAGGTGGGGGCTCTGGAATGTAAGTAGGTGGTGACAGTGGAGCCCCATGATGGGATCACTGCCCTGTAAGAAGAGACAGGAAAGGTCCACTCTCCTCCAGGTGAGTTGCAGCAGGTGGGTAAAGAGCCCTCTCCACAAACACCAACCCCTGAACTCAGACTTCCACACTCTAGAACTAGGAGAGGTAAATTTTTGTCGTGTGAGCCACCTGGGCATTCTGTTACAGCAGCGCAAGCTGACTGAGACTTTGGGCACCCCCACCTCTCTCTTAGACCGTTGATGTGGCTGCCCAACTGGATATCCTTCTTCACCTCTTGCTACCTTCAAATTCATTTTCTATCATCTTGCCAGTGTAAACTTGCTTATTTATTTATTTTTTTTTATTTTATTAGAGCAAAAGTTATATAGCATAAGACCATTTAAAAACGAACGCCTTAGTGGCATTTTGTGCACTCATGATGGTGTGCTACCATTAGTTCTTTTGGAGACATACCTATGATTGGAATTGCTGGTGTGAGCTTTTTAAACACCTAAGTCCCTTGCTTATTAAAATCTGCCAGCAGCTTCCCACTGAGCTTGCAGGGGCTGGGAAAGTCCAGCCAGTGGGTCAATCTGGCTAGCCCTTGTTCTGCAGTCACGGGAACGACGCCAGGGGTCGCACTGGGTGAGATTTGGACACCTGGCTGGGGCAGCCTCCTTGCTTCCGCTCCCTACCCCTCTCCCAGAGCTTGTCTGCCACCCTAGGTGGCCCATCCCAAGTCAACAAGGCATGACAAGCCAGAAATGTCTTCTTTTCTTTTATACATTCCTTTATAATTTCTTCAGTTTTACCTTTAGGCCCTCAAAGCCAAACACACTTATTATGTGGCCCTTTGTACATAAAACATTTCCTGCCTAACTTTCCCCTGAGCTCAGGATAGATGCCAAGTGGCCTTCACCTGGGGGCCTCCATGGGGCTGGAGGCCCTTGTAATTTTGTCCACGCTGCCCAGGCATCTAGGGGCCTGTGCCCTTCTTCCCCCTGTTTCTGGGAACAGTCTTCCCCAGATCTCTGGAGGTTGGCTCCTCCTCCTCATCTGTATCTCTCTCTTTTTTCTTCTTATCTTTGGGAACAGGGTCTTGCTCTGCTGCCCAGGCTGAAGTCCAGTAGTGTCAGCCTAGCTCACTATAGTCTCAAATCCTTGGTTCAAATGATCCTCCTGCCTTAGCTTCTTGAGTAGCTGAGACCATAGGTACATGCCACCATGCCTGCCTAATTTGTTAATTTTTTTTTGTAGATGGAGCCTTGAACTCCCAACCTCGAGTGATCATTTTGCCTTAGCCTTCCAGAATACTGAGATTACAGGTGTGAGCCACCACACCTGGCCTGTGTTTTGACTGAAGAACCTCCTCCTCACATGAGCTCTCCTTGACCACCCATTTTGCTTAGGGGTCCAGATAATCAGAACCAATAGGAAATAGACAAAGAGAAAGTCAGAGAGAGAAAGAGAGATGAGAGAGAGAGAGAGAGGAAAATGGAGATGGAGAGAGAGATAGAGACAGAGAGACAAAGGAGACAGAAAGAGAGATACAGAGTTAGAGGTAGTGATATGGAGACACAGAGAGAGGGGGAGAGAGTCAGAGAAAGACAAAGAAGACATTTAAAGAGAGATAGAGACATAAATTTATTTTAAGGAATCGGCTCTCAGGATCACTGGGGATTGCAAGTCGTAAACACACAGGGCAAGCAGCAGGTTGGAGATTCAGGTAAGAGTTAATGTTGCAGTCTTATGGTTCATCTTACAAGGGTACATGTGAATCTTTCTAAATGTAGAGTATAAATGTCTTAACACAATAACTAAGAAGATGCCCTGAAGGCTATGTTAACCAGTTTGGTGAAAATATTTCAAATTGTATATAAAACCAGCACACTGTACCCCATGACTGCATTAATGTACACAGCTATGATTTAATTAAAAAATAAAATTAGACCACTTAATAGACAACTAAAAAATTTTTTTAAAAGAGTTAATGCCGCAGTCTTGAGTATAAGGGCTAGAAATTCAGGCAGAATTTCTGTCACTGTCTTGAGGCAGAAGTTTTTCTTCAGGAAACCTCAAGCGTCGGCTCCTCTGACCTGCAAATGATCTGGTGAGACCTATCCACATGACCAAGTCTCATTTCCTACACTCAGTGTCCGTTGGTTTTCAAAACAAAGTCCAGCTGGCTTGGTGCCTGTAGCACAGTGGTTACAGTGCTGGCCACATACACCAAGGCTGGCAGGTTCGAACCCAGCCTGGACCAGCTAAGCAACAATGACAACTGCAACCAAAAAACAGCTGGGCGTTGTGGTGGGCATCTGTAGTCCTAGCTGCTTGGGAGGCTGAGGCAAGAGAATTGCTTAAGCCCAAGAGTTTGAGGTTGCTGTGAGCTGTGACACCACAGCACTCTACCAAGGGCAACGTAATGAGATTCTGTCTCAAAAACAAACAAACAAAACCAAAAAAACAAAAACAAAAACAAAAAAAAACAAAGCCCCTCTAAGGAAGTACCTTCCTAGCAATATGCAAACTAGCTTTTGACCAAAGAACCAGCCACCATAGCCTAGCTCTGTGATCACCCAGAATGAACCCTCCCATCATGTAGTGTAAGTGATCCCCCCTCAATCCCCTATGTGGGTCAGCTTTCTTTCTGGACATCCTCACCATCTACAGTCAGTTACATGCTGCTTCTAAGTGTCCTTTCCTGCTCCCCTTTCAGAATGGTTCTGTCTGTGACTGGGCACCATAGCTCACACCTATCATTTTACCAGGCCCAGGTGGGAGGATCACTTGAGGCCATGAGTTTAAGAGTAGCCTGAGCAACACCATGAGACCCTGTCTCTACAAAAACGTTTAAAAAATATCAGCCACATATGAGGGTGGCATGTGCCTGTAGTCTCAGCTACGCAGGAGGGTGAGCCAGAGGATCACTGCAGACCAGGAGTTGGAGGCTGCAGTGAGCTGTGATCACAACACTGTACTCCAGCCTGGGCTACAGAGTGAGACCCTATATCTAAAAACAAAACAAAATCCTGCCTGTGCTATTCACAGCCTCAAGCAATAAGTTTTACTCAAGAACAAACACAAACAAAAAAA